ACAATAATATCATATGACAAGTAATACCTAAAAGTGTATACCTGCTGTGCAGTGTGCATTATGTTTGGTTGGGCCCTGCACTGAAATAGGGAAAACCGTGGGGCATGTGGCATATGCCGCTTCTGCCATATGGTTAATCTGGCACTGGTGTTTTGTCACCTGCATGGGGTTTCTTGACATAGTTGTTGAAACAGCACAACTGGAAACAACTGGCCATGGTAACCATGCTTTTGAAGCATAGATAATATATATAGATAGTATTAGAGATAATTTCATAAATAGCATGAAGTATATTTGTCTTCTAATGTCAGAATATGATCACACTGCCTATAGTTGCCTGACAATTTTACTTTTGTATCAATGAGTCGAGTCCATCAGTGGTTGAGGTTAAAGCAGGTTATTATTTCAAATTAACTTTGAATGATATCTTTTATATTTGTTCATATATTTCAATATTGAATAATAAATACACAGCACATTTTAAATCAATTTTGTAAGTTTTTCTAATTCAAAACTCAACTGCATTATACTGCATTGTAAAAGTGGATTCACTCTACAGAAAGTTTTATTATAAAGGTTGCCTTCCAGTTTAACAAAATAATAAATTTAAAAAGTACAAATATATTTAGTAACAACAAAGACATGTATATATATTTTGTCGAGGGGTAAATTACTCTGAAAAAAGCGTACGAGGATTTTTGGGATTAGAAAATCCCGGCAATTTTTCTCGGGATTCTGGGATTTTTTTCTCGGGATTCTGGGATTTTTTTGGGATTTTTTTCAGCTGATTTTTTCGAAATATTTTCGCTTATTTTTTTCGCCGAACTTTTTCCGACATTTTTTGCGACATATAATCCGTCGAATTATTTTTAAAACGAAGTAAATCAACAAAGGACATTCTCACGCCAATTCACGATTTAAATGTTTAAATGGGATTTCTCAATATTGCAATAGTTTTGAGGATTTTATTGGGCTTTTTCCAAGTATTTTATGCAATTTTTAGAGATTTCTTGGGATTTTGGGATTCTGGGATTTAGTAAGATTTTGGGATTTTTCCAAAGATTTTTTGGGATTTTTGATGAAGTGTACGAAGATTTTCAGAGTAATTTACCCCTCGTATTTTGTAAAAAGGCTTAGTATTAAAGATGGATAATTGAAAGTTTGAAACCCTCTGGTTGATCAAGGTTAAACATAATTGATAAAACGAACTACTTACTTTACCTTAACAGTATGCTTGAGTAAACTAGAAATTATCGTGTTGTCATGCCACTGTGGCGATAAAATATTATTCCCGCATGGCAACTTTGAACGAACCAAACTGACGATATTTTAAGGCAATCTGGATAATTTTCGTTTTAACAGCATTAACATAACATCTTTTATCCACTGTGGAGCGACCAACTTGGTAAAACTTCGCAAAGTATCTCACATTTGGCAAAATTCACCTTAGTTCACGTTGTTCGCCATACTGTTCACATTTCTATAGTAATTTGTGTCACAGAAGTTATATCCAGTCTACTATTAATAGATCAGTGAGTCCAGTCCGCGTTTTACCTCTATGGTTTTACTAATCTGAGTCCAGTCCGCGTTTTACTAATCTGAGTCCAGTCCGCGTTTTACTAATCTGAGTCCAGTCCGCGTTTTACTAATCTGAGTCCAGTCCGCGTTTTACTAATCTGAGTCCAGTCCGCGTTTTACTAATCTGAGTCCAGTCCGCGTTTTACCAGTCCAGTCCAGTCCGCGTTTTACCATATGCCTATTATTGTTGCATGCGTAAGTCCTGAGATGTGGTAAATTTATAGGTCTGGTGAGAATTATTTGATCGACATTTGGCGCATAAAAGCGCTTGAATATATTTGGGGTTTGGAAATAATTGTAGGTAGAATTCATACAAAAGAAGTGGCAATCCTAGTTGAATTGATACTGCACTACTAGTACTTGAAAAATCCTTAAATTGTTATTACAACCGACTTAAAGGGGCAATGTCACCGATTTTTGAGGAATTCTGACTCTCTCAAAACTTGTACAAAACTGAGAAAGAATGGCTGTAATTACAAAATAAAGCAATAACAAACACAAAAAGCGTATTACTCTTATGTCATACATAAATCCATTTACGATGTTTATTTTCAGAATTACAGTTCACACTGTAAATAAAATGCATTTTTAGTCAAATATGGGTGACATTGCCTCTTTAATTTCGCAAATAATTGTCAGTATAATAGAAATTATTAAATTATAATTTATTATTAAATTAAAAAATTATAAATTATTATTATCGCCGTTCGACGTAACTAGTATCTTATAGTTACCTGGGGTGCAAATTGAACTATTTTTATACTATTTTTAATACTTTCGTAACATGTTTAGAACGCCAAATCACAGATTTTCACGTCTTGATAACAACGGCTGCATTTCAAGCAGCAACAAGTGCAACCTCAAACTGGGTTCACCAGCAGTGACTCTTCCCAACAATAAAACCTATATGTCCTTTCAACTTCTAAGACTTTATTAAATTCATACGATTGATAATATACCACGAATTATTCTTACTACCATTTATTTGAAAGAGTTTGTTTTGGCCGTCGTCGTTTGAAACGTCGACACAAATAAGCGCCGTTTTAGTCAGTATACGGCCAGATAGATAGATAGATTGATAGATATGGATAGATTGTTTAAAGGTGATCTACAGTCCGTATGTAAACAAAGGCTTTGTTTACATTTTTGTGTCCAAAATATTGAGCTTTATTCGACAACTATTTATATTTTCAAGCTTCTAGAGTATAATAAATGATCAAGAAACAACAATCAGGCTTTTCAAGAACTCAAAACATAGTTAAACTGTTTGTATCATAAAAAGTGGGCTCATTTGTGCACATGCGCAGATCGGACTGTAGATCACCTTTAATAATTCACTTTTTGCAGTACAAATACTGAATTGGTAAGCGATTACAATATAAATAAGACTGGATACAAATTATATTACATTTAAAAAATTACAACCTATGCTATGGCTTACTAAAAAGATTATAAATATTAAAACTACTACTAATTTGTTGAATTACGATTATTTATGTCTAAACAACTAGCGATGACATACGAATTCTTAAAACGTTCAGTATAGAATTTTGGAACATGTATCTTCTTGTTGTTTCTCAATTGGTAATTTAATGAAGTATCTATTTTAGGGATTAAATTATGAAGTTTATGGTTCGGGTTATTTAAAATTTCATTAAAAAGTTTATTGCAGGCAATTTGCCTTCTAGCGTACAATGACTCCATCCCAGCTTCCATCAATGCATCTTCGTAATGTAAGTTCGGATATACAATTCGAAGAACCCGTTTTTGTACTCGTTCAATTTCATCACTCAAGTATTTTAATAGGTAAAGAGTAGTGGAAAACAGTGGAAGCGTATTCCAGAATGGGGCGGATACATACGGTATAGAATTGTAAAACATCTTGAATTGCGACTTTTGCCCGTTTCAGCTGCACTAAAAGGTAAATCCTTTTGGAACTTTTTGTCACTATGTTATTGGCATGACTATTCCACTTCAAATTGTTCGCGATAGTAAGACCCAGTAATTTTGCTTCTTCCACCACTTGTAAAGGTTTGCCATTAATTTTAATAGGAGGAAAGGGATTTCTATTTTTCGCAAAGTCTATCCGCAATTCTTTGCATTTGTTTTCATTCAATCTGAAAAGGTTTAACTCGGACCACTCTTCAATTTCGGACAATTTATAACAACTAGTAAAGAACAGTAAATGATACTTGCCCAAAGCGAATATTGGTATTATAAATACAACACTCGCCCATACGGGTAAGACAATCATCGAAAATAATGCGACAAGCGTTAATTGTTGCCTTGCAATCAATTTCCTGAGATTTACAAGACAAAGCCATGCTGGAGTGCAAATTCAATAGCTGAGCCTGAGCTGCATGGTGCCCCTATATATTTAGAGGCAAAAGTCGCCGTTGAAATTAAAGATGACAAAAGAAGGTCGACCATGCAGAAAAACACGATAAGCCTAAGGCTTAGATCTACAGCAGTGTTAACTATATAGATGTAAATTTTTGACCCACGCCATGCAAATATACGGCTAAAACGTATCGTGATCAATACTTGTGCTCACACCATGAAATATTTCCTTTGTCGTATGACAGGTTCGGTTACAGACAACATTTATGCTTAAAATCGGTCATTATGGGATTGCTGTTAATCTGCAACCAATTCCGAAGAATATAAATGTGTCGACATAAATTCAATACTGACACATGTTGAATATAAATTACTGACTAAAATGGTCAAGTAAATTGTCTACCTAAAATGATAATTAGGGATTTCGCGACGTTCACAACAGGAGACATTTTGAATAAAATTAAGGTATTGTCCCAAGCTCAAAACACATGCAAGTTGCCGATGTCACGGTAAATTTGTTCAACGATTTTACCAGTTCGTCAACTTTGGTGAGTACAATTCTTTTATCATTAAAATATGAATTCATTCACTATAAACAATATCGACTTATACCGATCTCTGTAAGTTTTCATTAATAGGGTATAAGCGGTGGAATACAATCCGAAAAATGAGAGTTTAAGGCCCTGTTTACACTATACCGGATTCGCTGGTCACGACATCTTCTTTTGCCGCTACGGAGCAATGGTTATAGTAGCAAATGCTTATTAGTTTGACAGAATTGGCATGTTTATTTGGGTCTCTGAGATTAAAGATCTTCACAGCCTTTCGATACCTACAAAATTTGACCCACTCCGACAGCAATCCGGTATAGTATAAACGGGGCCTAAGTCTCATGTTTACTTGTAGATTATAAGAACTCGCCACAAATCTCGGTGGTGTCGATAAGTTCAATTGTAGAGATGTGTACATATTTGCGAGCAGTATTGAGTTTAAAGCCCGAGTCGAACGAAGACGAGATATCGCGTGACAATGCCAGTCACGCAACCCGCAACGTTTGTTATAGATGCTCAATGACACACTATATAGGCCGTGGACTGATGGCCTAAAATCTTTCAATTTGCTGCCCCCATCGAGAAACTAAAACTTTTTCGCACAAATATACCTGTTATGGTGTCAAAAACACAAAATAACTTGGCCCCAATGGAAAAAGTTGCACAATGATGAAATATTTAACGTTAAACTTCTGAAATAATCTTGTTCGAGATTTTCGAAAACGCCATTTTGTTTATGCGCGGGAAAAGGTCTAGGTACGAGATTCGGCGGGCTGAATGTGGGCTACGCGAGGAGTTCGCCCGATTTCACGATTCACGCGATTATTACTAAAAATTTGATTGGCTAAAAGCTGAAAAACAGTAAATAAAACATGGCGACTGCATTGGAAAGTCCAACTTATGTTAATGACTTCATTTTAAGTCATTAGCATTTTAAGTCATTAGTCAGTCAGCAGTTTTTACTGTTGAAGTGTCTATCCTGTTACTCCTGTATAAACATTCATTATATTATTATTATATTATTATTATTACTATGTTAGGGACCATGCATTATTGGGCTATTCCATTAAATATCCGTACCCCCCCTGTCGAGGATCCCTGGAATTCTTCAGGGGTAAAGGGTTTTGAGCTTGGAATTCTTCAGGGGTAAAGTGTTTTGAGCTTGGAATTCTTCAGGGGTAAAGTGTTTTGAGTTTGGAATTCTTCAGGGGTAAATGGTTTTGAGCTTGGAATTCTTCAGGTGTAAAGGGTTTTGAGCTTGGAATTCTTCAGGGGTAAAGAGGTTTGAGATTGAAATTTTTCAGAGCTTGGAATTCTTCAGGGGTGAAGGGTTTTGAGCTTGGAATTCTTCAGGGGTAAAAGGTTTTGAGCTTGAAATTCTTCAGGGGTAAAGGGTTTTGAGCTTGGAATTCTTTAGGGGTGAAGGGTTTTGAGCTTGGAATTCTTCAGGGGTAAAAGGTTTTGAGCTTGGAATTCTTCAGGGGTAAAGGGTTTTGAGCTTGGAATTTTGGAATTCTTCAGGGTAAAAGGTTTTGAGCTTGGAATTCTTCAGGGGTAAAGAGTTTTGAGCTTGGAATTTTGGAATTCTTCAGGGGTAAACAGTTTTGAGCTTGGAATTCTTCAGGGGTATGACAATGAAAAACATGTATCCTCGACAGGGGGGGTACGGATATTAAATGGAATAGCCCATTTATAACTGGGGGTGGCAAAAAAAGGGGGTGGGTCATGAGGTATTTTTGACCAAAACAGGGGGCCACCTAAAAATATTGGTTCAGAAGAGGGGGTCCAGTTATTTATTATTGTGTTATTATAGTGGAGAAACATTTGACATGTAACGCAAGCAGCAAATTTAATTCATGTATAGCTAGCAAAATTCTCAATTTTAATCACCAGATAGACCCAAAATGCAATGCACAAATACCCAAAATGCAACGCGCACAGCTAATATCATGAAAAATAATCGAACATCTACCTTATAACTTTTGCCATAAACTTGCCATAAATTTTTGTCATCTTAATTATGTACATTTTAATCAAAGAAAGATAATTAACCAGTAAGCGATGTACCAACATTGCGTCCAGCAGCCCAGGGAAAGTTTGGCATATACTATATTTTATTCATGGTTTAATTTAGTAAAGAGTTTGTCGGTTTACCGTGTCAAGTCCGAGTCAAATCCGAGCCCAAGTCAAATGTCCAAGTCACCAGCTGTTTAGTGGTCTTTGTAGTTCAATGACGTAGTACGTATACCCTAACCCTACGCCTAACCTAGGGGCCCTAGCAACGGGGGGGGGGGCTCAGCTCCCCCCCAATCATTTGCTCAATCATTCTTTTTTCCAAAATCATGCAGCCTATCATTTAAATAATATACCTTTAAAATACCGACAATTGATTAATTTTTAGCGGCTACATTATCCATGACAAACTGCAAAGAATGAAGATATTTCTCATACTTTCCTGCAACTTATCCAACATATAGTTAATTAAATACGCCTTCGCCCATTTAGTGCTACTAAATTGTAAATTTCGACATACTAAAATGCCGTTTTCTGACCATCAGAATTCTGTCAAATCTTCTCCAAAGTCCGGCCAGGAAATGGCATTTCAGAGACTCTAAATTTAAAAATTTCCTCGGACCTTTGGCCCTTGCTTTCAGCTACCCTAACCCTACTTCTAAGTACCCTATACTCCTGACCTTATTTTACTCGTCAATGGAGAAGTTCTGCTAGGCATGTCCCGATTGTGCTCGGCAACTTTTGAGCAACTTTTTACGTTCGGAGCAAACTACACTCTACAGTTTACTAGTTACTACACTCTTTGTAACGAAAAATGGTATGACTAATTAGCCTCTTCGGCGCTCTGTAGCTAACGGGTTAACCAAAAAATCTGACAATGTCTCTAGTTAACCCATTGCACCCCAGTGCACCCTACTTATTTTTTACTTGTTTAACGCCAGAC